CTCCATGACTCTGAGCACATGCAAGCTGCCCACTGGCTGCTGGGTTCCTCTTACTGGGAAGAGGAAGTCAGTCTCCCCTTCCCACTGTGGCCACTCTAATCCTCCACAGATGGGTGACCACCAAGAAATTGCAACCACTGCATGGAGATGCACTTGATTCTTGGACCAAGGGTGGGAAAGCAGATCGTTCTGATCTGTCTCAAAACTCTGTGGTGCAGCCTGGGTGGGAATGACTAATGCCAAGCTCTGTGGAGACACTATAGGGTGCATGCCTCCAAATCTTATTCTCTCTGTGTCCCTGGCAGAAGCGAGGTAATTGCGAAAGGTGATGGCAGAAGGGGCCTCCTCTGCGAATGAGATCAGGTGTCTATATGGGCAGAGGGCAGCACGGTGGAGGTGAGCAGGAGGGCAGGAATTGCCTCTGGCCCCAGACAGTGGGGAGGAGCAGATGGCAGAGAATCAGTGCTGGGGGCCACGTCCACATGTCAGCCAAAAAGCCCTCACACAAGTTTTATTGGCTCATTGGACTTCATTTATAAAACACATATTAAGATACAATTATGAAGAATTTAACGACAATGATCATCGGGCATCAGCTACGATGCTGCATTGGTTGCATGTCCCATGAAGCAAGCCCTGGATATACAATATACAGACTAACTCACTATTTGGGGGGTGATCCTGACTCTGCCTCTTTACAGCCTTCATCTTTCCATCCTACGACCCTGGATAGCTCAGCCTTTCCCAACTGTTTCTGTCATCTTCCACCTCAGTCTAAATCATGCCTTGTGCCTGTTCAGCCCAGTGTTGTTCCTCTCTTCCCATCTCCCTGTTTCATTCCCTACCCTTTGCATTAACTTGGGAAACATTTGTACGTGCACGCTAGCTTTAGTGCCCTTGTTTTGCTGCCTTGGGGTGAAGGCTACACTCCCCTTCCAAATTTCCTATTTCTCGCCCTTCCTTCTTCCTTCCTCTGACTTACTGCAGCAGATTTACCTGTTTCCCACCCCAAGCACACACTCCCTTGCTGAACACTGATCTGCTCCCTCAACAAGCCTTCCCTGCAGCTCTGTTTCATTCAATTAAGGGAAGAGCCTCATGAAGTTTTTAAAGAGCTTTTTAAGGATTACAGTTCCTATATCTCTAAAAGTTTTCCCAGGAGCCATTCCATGTGAGAAATCAGGCTTAGCTTGCTAAACTTGCGTAATTGACCCTTGGTGGGGGTTAGGAGTGACAGTGGCCCCGTGCAGTCAAAAATCCCTGTATAACTTTTGACTTTTCCAAATCTTAACTATTAAAAGCCTACTATTGACTGGAAGCCTTACTTATAGCATAAACAGTTAATGAACACATATTTTGTGTGTCATTTGTATTATGTATGATATTCTTTTTTTTTTTTTTGAGGTGGAGTTTCGCTCTTGTTACCCAGGCTGGAGTGCAATGGCACGATCTCGGTTCACCGCAACCTCCGCCTCCTGGGTTCAGGCAATTATCCTGCCTCAGCCTCCCGAGTAGCTGGGACTACAGGTGTGCACCACCATGCCCAGCTAATTTTTGTATTTTTAGTAGAGACGGGGTTTCACCATGTTGACCAAGATGGTTTCGATCTCTTCATCTCGTGATCCACCCGCCTCGGCCTCCCAACGTGCTGGAATTATAGGCATGAGCCACGGCACCCGGCAAAAGAAAATATTTTTAAGAAAATCAGAAGAAAGAGAAAATATATCTGCTATACATTAAGTGGATCATCACGTGTTCATCTTGATTCACATTGAGTAGGCAGAAGAGGAGGAGAAAGAGTTGTCTTAGCTGTGGCGGAATCAGAAGAAAATCCACGTATAAGTAAACCCACACAGTTGAAACCCATGTTATTCAAGGGTGAACTGCAGTGTGAGGGTTTGAGTCAATCTAGTCTGGTGCTAACTGGGTTAGTGTTTTGCTGTTGCTGCAATAGTCTTCAAGCTCCTCTACATTAGTCTGTTCCTAGGGTGGGGCTGATTGGTTTGCCAGAGGATTTTTTAATGTCTCCACTCTCAGGTTTTGATGTTTGCTTTGTGAAATATCTCTAGAGGACCCACCGTCATGATTTCTGCTCTTCTAGCTGCAGTCTCCCCTTGTAATTGATATTTAGGATACCGCTTGGGAGAGGGAATAGGATCACTGTCTTTTGTTCTGGTGCAGTCTCATTCTCAGGCAGGTGACTCATTTTTGAATTTTTTGAAGTTTTGTCATATAAATGTTTCTGCCTTTTCCCCACCAGTTTGGGACCTCTAATAGTCTGGAACCAGGATGTTTTCTTGTTCCTTCCCATTTTGTTCTCCTCCTCAGCCGCAGTGGGTTTTCACATATGCCCTGAGGGCAGCAGCACTTTCTGCCCTATCCCCAGCAGGTTAGGGCTTTTTTTTTCTATGTGACAATAGAAGAGATGGGTCTGGTTGGGACTTACTACCTTGCAGTAGCTATTCTCATACCTCAGGCCTGTATCACGAGAGGGAATTTATCTGATCTATATCTCTGTCCCTAATATTTCGGAAGAGCTTGGGGAGGTTTCTGAAAAAGAGCTTAGAGACTGATGCGAATTTCCCTGTTTCTGTGACTCCTAGGTCTTCTATATAAATTCAAGTTGTGATTTTGATGGTCCAGCGTCAAAAAATTTTAAGTATGAAAGTGAAGCTCTTTCCAGCTTTTTTGTATGCTAATCTTAACTTTAAAAAATTATGATAGACTAGACAAAGAAAATGTGGTACATATACACCATGGAATACTATGCAGCCATAAAAAACGATGAGTTCGTGTCATTTGTAGGGACTTGGATGAATCTGGAAACCATCATACTCAGCAAATTGACACAAGAACACAAAGCCAAACATTGTATGTTCTCACTCATAGGTGGGTGTTGAACAAGGAGAACACGTGGACTCAGGGAGAGGAGCATCACACACTGGGGGCAGTTGGGGGGGTAGGGGAGAGACAGTGGAGGGTGGGGTGGGTGGGGAGGGATAACATGGGGAAAAATGCCAGATATAGTATGCACCTAAAGTAAAATAAAAATAAAAAATTGGAAACCCAGGGCTCAGAAAAGTGATGTCACTTACCCCCTGCTTCCCAAAAATTATTTGTAATTCCAGTATTTTGGGACAACGAGGTGGGTGGATCACCTGAGGTCAGGAGTTCAAGACCAACGTGGTGAAATCCAGTATCTATTAATAATACAAAAGTTAGCTGGGCATGATGGTGCATGTCTGTTGTCCTAGCTACCTGGGAGGCCGAGGGAGGAGAATTTCTTGAACCTGGGAGGCAGAGGTTGCAGTGAGCCGAGATCTCACCACTGCACTCCAGCCTGGATGACAGATTGAGATTCTAAGAAAAAAAAAAAAGTTATTTGCAGGCCAGGCATGGTGGCTTATGACAATAATTCTAGCACTTTGGGAGGGTGACACAGGACAATTGCTTGAGGCCAGGAGTCTGAGGTTACAGTGAGCTATGATCATTTCACTGCACTCAAGCCTGAGTAACAGAGCGAAGCCCTGTCTCAAGAAAAAAAAACTTTTCCCCAAAATTAGCTTCAGATAATTTTTTTTTGAAATTCAAAAAATAAATAGCCCAAACACATTTACATGGATGGTACCAACGAAGCACAAGCACATATTTAGAAGCCCTTGAACAGTTAAAGCAGCATAAAAGAGGAATGTAAATCTGTCCAGCAGAGACTGTTTATGACAAAACAACCCTGAAACATCCAAGTGGGACTGATAAGAAGCGATCCTGGGATAAAGTCTTTGGCACACTCCATTAACTGTACTGCTCACAAGTTCTGACTTGTTTCTTATAAGTTGTAGAAAATTTATAGCAGGATCCTATATGTAAATTTCATGCTAGTAACTTGTACTTTTATCCTAAATAGAACTATATAAGACTTTCATCTCACTACATAAGATTATAAGTAATCTTTATGATATTTTATAAATAATTCTATTATAAAGACACATGCACACATATGTTTATTGTGGCACTGGTCACAATAGCAAAGACTTGGAACCAAACCAAATGCCCACCAATGATAGACTGGATAAAGAAAATGTGACACATATACACCATGGAAAACTATGCAGACATAAAAAAGGATGGGTTCATGTCCTTTGCAGGGACATGGATGAAACTGGAAACCATCATTCTCAGCAAACTGACAAAAGAACAGAAAACCAAACACCGCACGTTCTCACTCATACGTGGGTGTTGACCAATGAGAACACATGGACACAGGGAGAAGAACACTGTACACCGGGATCTGGGGGGCTAGAGGAGGAATAGCAGGGGTTGGGGAATTGGGGAGGGATAGCATTAGGAGAAATGCCTATGTAGATAACGGGGCAATGGATGCAGCAAACCACCACCATGGCACGTGTATACCTATGTAACAATCCTGCACGATCTGCACATGTACCCAGATCATAAAATATAATAATAAATTGTATGTTGTGTATCTCCTCCATAATTAAAAAATGAATGCATAGACTGAATTCATTCATTCATTTGACAAATATTCACTAACACCTATCACTTGCCAGGTACTCTGTTAGGCGGGGGGATGACAGCATGGAACTGACACTCCAAGTCAACTACTGAAGTCAAAATTCTGGGCTGGCAAACGTTGGTTAAGAGTCCCCATTTTGGCCAGGAGCGGTGGCTCACGCCTGTAATCCCAGCACTTTGGGAGGCCGAGGCAGGTGGATCACGAGATCAAGAGATCGAGACCATGCTGGTTAACAAGGTGAAACCCCGTCTCTACTAAAAATACAAAAAATTAGCTGGGCATGAGGGTGAGTGCCCGTAATCCCACCTACTCAGGAGGCCGAGGCAGGAGAATTGCCTGAACCCAGGAGGTGGAGGTTGCGGTGAGCCGAGATCGCGCCATTGCATTCCAGCCTGGGTAACAAGAGCGAAACTCCGTCTCAAAAAAAAAAAAAAAAAAGAGTCTCCATTTTAGAAAACGTTATTTGAAGAGGCTTGTTTTTATCCGGAGAGTGTTTACAATTTAATAAAACTCAGTACACCAAGTTTTAGTTCTTGGCGTGTTTTTCTCCCTCAGTAAGTTCCTTGAATAAAGCGATTGTGTTGTCAACCACGGCATAATCTTCAGTGTAGCAAGATGCTTGGCTCCAGGCAGGCGCTGAGAGAGACTGTTGGGTCAGTGAATGTGTATCAGTGAAAATCAAACAGAGGACATTTTCTTTATATGTTTTAGTGTTCCTTTGTTTTTTTTTGTGATGGTTACTGGCTCTTTTCTAAGAATAATGGAGAAAAGGTGTTAGTTTATACTGTCACCTAGGGCAGTCACAGGGGATGCTGAAAAAGCAAAAGAACCGATGTTAAACCAGAAATGAATGTACTGGGGTGTGGGGATGAGACAAGGGAAGAGAATACATGGGAAAGTATTGGAAAGGACAGAGTGATCAAAAGCGCAGGGACATGGGAACATTGGGCAGCACACTGGGAGCCATTTAGTTTTATGCTCTTATTGTATGAATGGGAAAAAAATGTCCTTAGTGGTTAAGTGGCTTCCCAATGCCACGTAAGACTTGTTCCAGAGAAGTTGAATTAGGGGAAGGTGAACTGGTTGGAAGTTGGTGACAAGGAGAAAAGCTGAAAACTAGAGAAGAAAGTCAGAACCAGAGGGAAATGAGAGACTGAGTAGGTGTCTCTGGGTTTGTGAAGGAGTGGATTTTCTTTGTTGCAGTCAGGGGAGGTTTGTCTGCTGGTTGCAGAAACAAGTCAGACTAGAGATACCGTGGGGTTGGTTTGTTTGGAACGGAAATCAAAGACCAATTTTTGCGAGAGAAGGAAGTAACATCTGCAAATGACATGCTGTTTCTGCTGCTTCCATTGCTAGCTGTTCTCCCAGGTGGTGAAAATGCAGACGGTAAGAATTCTGAGAACTCTGACAACTGCCCAGTTGGGTGGATGATTGTGTGTGTGTGTGTGTGTGTGTGCGCACTTCCTAGCACACACCTGGAAAGTGAGAGTGCCAGTCTGGTTCCACTCTGACTGTTCATGTCTCCAGGTCTCCGCGCTCTTATGAAGGAAGGTGCTTGATAATGCATGGGACACTGTGGGAAGCAAGCATCTGCTAAGATTATGATGGATCCCCTCTTCTCCGGATTCTGAATTCCCCCACTCGGGCACCTTCTCCCTCCATTCTGTTTGTCAATGTCTTTCTCACATTCTACTCTACTTTCACCACAGGGATCAAGGAGCCTGTCTCCTTCCATGTCATCCAAATCTCATCCTTTTACAACCATTCCTGGGAATGAAATCTGGGCTCAGGTTGGCTGGGTGATTTGCAGACTCACACGTGGGACAGCAATTCCAGCACCATCATTTTCCTGTGGCCCTGGTCCAGGGGAACCTTCAGCAATGAGGAGTGGATGGAGCTGGAAAGGGCATTACGTATATACTTCATTCGTTTTTTTGAGGTAGTTCATAGAACCACAAGTGGATTAATATTTGAATGTGAGTACAGTTTCCCCGATGGGGACTGAAGAGTTGGGAGAGAGGGGATGTCTCAATGTTCCTTATTCCTGTAGGAAACAGCCTGACTCTTTTCTGTAGCTTATTCTACTCCTCCCACCATAAAACTGCAATTGCAAACTTTTGGGCAAGGTCTATCATCCACACCCTAATTCTTCAAACACTTCTGCCACTTATGAACTCCTGTTTCACTGATTGCAGGGTTGTGCTTTATTACCTTTTCCACAGGTATCCCGTGGTTACGCTTTTTTCTGCCTAAATACAGCTAAATGCTTCCAGCTTTCTCACTTTGTTGTTCACTCTCTTCAGCAGTCTCTGCATAGACTCATTGGAACCCGTTGCGTGCCGTTCAACCTAAGTTGTTATAACCCAGTTCTCTTACACCAAGCCCTTCCTGACCTACAGCATTCACATCATTGTCTTTTATTTTCCCTCTTCCTCATGTTACTAATCTTTTCCTCCACCTATAGTTCCCACAAATTCCCCTTTCTCTGAATCCCTGACCAAACCAAATTTTATTCCATCCCATCAAACCCTGAAGACTCCCCGCTACTGCTTCTACAGTCTTTGCTTCTACGCATTTCATTTTATGCTTTTTGTCCCTCTTTCCTCTAATTCATAACCTCAGATCCTTTTGAGATACAGATAAGAGCAGGCTGTGAGGTGCACTCTGGAAAGCTCTCAGGAAGCTTCTTTCGGGTAGCTCACCAAGGATCAGATTTCGTGAGCTTCCAGAACAAGTCATGCCTGCCATCTCCACTTGCTGGAAATGCAGCCAAGCGTCTCTGCAAAGTGTTGAATCAGTATCAGCGTAAGAAGGACATAATACACCATTTCTTAATTGACACCTGCCCACGTTTCCTCTTGGGTCTTCTTGATGCAGGAAAGGAACATCTCCAGCAGCAAGGTCAGTCCTATACCCTTCCTCCAAGAACTTTTGATTTGAAAACCATACCCTGCCACCACCCCCTTCAAATTCAGAATAAGCAGGAGCTTCCCGGAAGTGGGAGAGGCTAGGAGCTGTGGCTCACGTCTGTAATCCCAGTGCTTCCGGAAGTTGAGGCTGGAGGACCACTTAAGGGCAGGAGTTCCAGTCCAGCCTGAGCAACATAGTGAGACCACCATCTCTGAAAAGTAAAAATAAATTAGCTGGTCATGGTGGCACACACCTGTAGTCCCAGTTACTCAAGAGGCTGAGGCTGGAGGATGGCTTGGGCACAAGGGTTTGAGATTATAGTGAGCTATAATTTATAATTATGCTACTACACTCCAGCAGAGTGACAGAGACCCTGTCTCAATAAAAAGAGAAATGGGAAAGATGTGTATATCTAATCTTCTAAACTGATGTGGTGATGTGAAACTCCAAGTCTGTAACTGAATATCTCTTCTGTCCTTTGCAGTGAAGCCTGAGGCCTGGCTGTCCCGTGGCCCCAGTCCAGGCCCTGGCCATCTGCTGCTGGTGTGCCATGTCTCAGGATTCTACCCAAAGCCTGTGTGGGTGAGGTGGATGCAGGGTGAGCAGGAGCAGCTGGGCACTAAGCAAGGGGACTTCCTGCCCAATGCTGATGGGACATGGTATCTCCAAGCAACCCTGGAGGTGGCCGCTGGGGAGGCAGCTGACCTGTCCTGTCGGGTGAAGCACAGCAGTTTAGAGGGCCAGGACATCGTCCTCTACTGGGGTGAGAAGGAGCTGGGGCCCAGGCTGGAAATGCCAGGAGGTGGTCCTCAGCATAGAGGAAGGGCAAGCTGAAAATTTTAGGATACTTGGGATAATAACCCCAACATGAATAAAAACAGGTAATCTAAGCAATACAAGTGTTGAAAATGAGGGCCCTGTAGACACAGGAGGATGCTGAGAGTTAGTTTATAACCATCTCTGAGCAGGGATGAGATAAAAGATAGAATGTAAGGAGATTGGTAAGTTGGACACTCAACTGAAAAAAGGAAGCCCAGGGTAATGCAGTGAAACAGGAAGTGGATGAGGGAAAATGGGGTGGATTTAAAATAACATCCTTGAATCTCCCCAAATTCACAGAACGTCACAATTCCGTGGGCTTGATCATCTTGGCGGTGATAGTGCCTTTACTTCTTCTGATAGTGTGTCTTGCACTTTGGTTCAGGAAACGCTGGTGAGTTATTTGCATGTGTGTTTCCTACTCCTACCCCCGCCCCACTTGTCTTCCCATGTTTCTTGTTTCTCTCTCCTCCATTCTTCTCTCCCCAGCCCCCTTCCCTCTTACTCCTCAATTCTCACCTCTACCTTATTCAGAGTGACTTCTATCTCTGTTCTCATCCAGTTTCTATTAAGACACATCATGAGCCTTCTCGTCACCGTTCACCTTTTGAAATGAGAAACCAGCAGCCCAAGGACTCAGGACACACCTGAACATGTCGTGGTGATGACGCCTTTTCCACTCTCCTTGTTAATTTGCTTGTTTCTGCTTAACGATCATTTGTCAATCTAAGCTCAATTTAATTTGCAGGATTTGTTGTTCTGACCTGGGTTTTGGGACTTTAAAATTCAAATTTTATCTGTGAATGGAATGGGGTCCTAGAAAACTCCACATGCTCAACCACTAATGGATCATCGGGCCCTTTTAGATTCCCTTCCTCCAGAGGCCTTCCCTGAGTCACGTGTGGAAAGCAGTCTCGCCCTGCTCTGAACTTCCACCATATTTGCTGACTGTACTCCTCACTTCCTCTCCTTCATTGCAGTTATTTAGGTGCTGCTTTTCCTTCTATTTTTCACCTCCTTCAATGCAAAGTACATGTATTTTAAATCTATGTATTCCTGACGAAGGATCTTGCCTGCATGAAACATGTTCTCAATAAAACTGTTGAATTTATGCTCAATTTGCAGTCTTTTCTGATTCCTTTCCTTCCTGGTACTTTGAAGTTGTCTAGTCATTTTTGATATTTTTCTGGTTTGAAGTCTGCTCACTTGGAGGAGGTTTTACACATTCCTAGTTCTATAGTGTTTTAGCTCCAGAGGAGAAACACCATTTTCCCTCTTCATACTAGTGTCATTAAACTATAGAGAGCTATTAGATTAATTTACTGTTCCAAGGATGCAAGGCAGGATGTGTGTCTTTACTATTCAGTGGTTCAGAGATGAGTAGCAGAGTTATCACACTGGCACTTGATAGAAAGGTCGAATTTGGACCTCACTTTAGATTTACTGAATTATAATTTGCATTTTGGAAAACCAGAAGAATAGTCAACAAGTTTATTAGAATTTGAGTGATGCTCATGCGCATGATGCCTGAGATATAGTACAAGTGTGTCACTGAAGAGAAAATGACCCAGCAATTCCATTACTGGGTGTATCTTCAAAGGATTATAAATCGCTCTATTATAAAGAGACATGCCCACGTATGTTCATTGCGGCACTGTTCACAATAGCAAAGGCTCGGAACCAACCCCAATGTCTGTCAATGACAGATTCGATAAAGAATGTGGCACATATATACCATGGAATATTACACAGCCATAAGAAACAATGAATTTGTGTCCTTTGTAGGAACATGGATGAATCTGGAAACCATCATTCTCAGCAAACTGACACAAGAACAGAAAACCAAACACTGTATGTTCTCACTCACATATGTTCTCTCAACGTCTCACATAGACAGATGTTGAACAATGAGAGCACATGGACACAGGGAGGGGAGCATCACACACTGTGGTCATTTGGAGGGGTTTAGGGGAGAGACAGCAGGGAGTGGGGAGGTTACACATAAATTTTTGTGGGCAAATTAGCAAATGTAACATTTTTGAATAATGACGATTTACTATTGACCCCAAATAAAAGTATTTGTCAAGATATCCATCACTAGACTTCAATTACTTTAGGATTCATGAATTAATTCAACAAATATTTGTCATGATTCTGTGGTGTGCCATTTTCATTTTTTGTTATTTCGCAGTTTTCTAGTATAGTAACCTATTTGAGTTGAACTTTGGGAAAGGGACTTAGCCCTAATTTGTTTAGGAAACTGAGAACAGGTGCCCAAGGCAAAGGAAACATGCAGGCAGACCAGGTGCTGTTGGAAGCAGCTGTATATATGAAAAATTTTGGAAAATGAAGTTGTGATGGGAGAAAGAAAATAAAAATATGGGATAGAGGAGAGCAAAGAATGGGACTGCTGCAGTCTTTCTATCTGGGTTAGACAGGATTGATTCTAACCCATTTGGGTTTCACCCGCCTTGCCACATTTGCATAGTAGTCATCTGGCTGATCAGCCTAAGCCAATAATGAGAACTCCTCCTTCACAATGTGATAGGCTAAAGGATGGGAGGTAATCTGGGATTTAAGCCAACCACTGTATAGATCCCACTTATGCTTGCTCAGAGTGGTGGTTCATGGCTATGGGCCTGTTCTAACATGACATTGTTTACATGATGTGTGATTCTTGTGTTTGACAATAGGGAAAAGCGATCCTGTCTCTTGTCCTGGATGGTGTAGTGTGAGGAATAAAGCTTGAAACAGCTCAAGTCATTTTTGTGAGCACTAGAGAAATCACACAGGGAAGAAGGTAGAGGAGACAGGTGTGCTTGGGACTTACTACCTTGCAGTAGCTGCTCTCATATTCAGGCCCACATCATGAGGCAGGATTTATCTGGTCTATATCTGTGACTCTAATCTTTCAGAAGACCCTGGTGAGGTTCATGGAAGAGGGATGAGAGACTGATGTGAATTTCCTTGTTTCTATGACTCCCAGGGCTTCTATAGACTCATGCTAGCCTTTAGTAAGTTGTTTACAATTTTAGCTGATTGCTCTTCTTATGGCTGGTATAGCATCTGGCACCTGTCCCATGTAAACAAGGGTTTGTGTTCCATCTGTCCTTGGAGGAGTGTCTCTCTCTTTATATTCTGGGTTAATTGATTGCCTTGATATTTTAGTTCTTAGATAAATTCACATTGTGATTTTGACATTCCAGCTTCAAAAAATTATAAGCATTAAAATGAGGCTCTTTCCAGGTTTTTGCATGCTTATATTAAATTAAAAAAAATTATCTGTAACCCCAGCTCTTTGGGAGGCTGAGGCAGGTGGATCACCTGAGGTCAGGAGTTCGAGACCAACATGGTGAAACCCTGTCTCTATTAAAAATGCAAAAGTAAGTCAGGCATGGTGTCCCATGCTTGTAATCCCAGCTACTCAGGAAGCCAAGGTAGGAGAACTGCTCACACCCAGAAGGCAGAGGTTGCAGTGAGCCAAGATTATGCCACTGCACTCCGGTCTGGGTGACAAAGTGAGACTCTGATTAAAAAAAAAAATTATTTGCATGCCAAGAATGGTGGTTCATGCCAATAATCCCAGTGCTTTGAGAGCCTGAGACAGAAAGATTGCTTGAAGCCATGAATTTGAGGTTACAGTAGCTATGATCATCCCACTGCAATTCAGCCTGAGTAACAGAGTGGAACCCTGTCTCAAGAATTTTTTTTTTCACCTATTCATTTCAGATATTTTTAACCCCCAAATAAATAGCTTAAACACATTTATATGGATGATACCTACAAAGAACAAACAGATATATTTAGAAGCACTTGAACAGTTAAAGAACCATAAAAGAGGAATGTAAATCTGTTCAGCAGAGACTGCTTATGACAAAACAACCCTGAAACATACAAGTAGGACTGATAAGAAGGGATCCTGGGATACAGACTTTGGAACACCCCATTAACTTCACTGCTCACAAGTTCTGACTAGTTTCTTTTTTTTTTTTTTTTGAGGGTTTGCCCATTTTATTAGATTTGTCAAATAACTAATTTTTTTTTAAATTTTTTATTGGATTTTAGGTTTTGGGGTACATGAGCAGAGCATGCAAGACAGTTGCATAGATACACACATGGCAGTGTGCTTTGCTTTTCTTCTCCCCTTCACCCACATTTGGCATTTCTCCCCAGGCTATCCCTCCCCACCTCCCCCTCCCACTGGCCCTCCCCTTTTCCCCCCAATAGACCCCTGTGTTTAGTACTCCCCTTTCTGTGTCCATGTGTTCTCATTTTTCATCACCCGCCTATGAGTGAGAATATGCGGTGTTTCATTTTCTGTTCTTGTGTCAGTTTGCTGAGGATGATGTTCTCCAGATTCATCCATGTTCCTACAAATGACACAAACTCATCATTTCTGATTGCTGCATAATATTCCATGGTGTATGTGTGCCACATTTTTCCAATCCAGTCTATTATCAATGGGCATTTTGGTTGATTCCAGGTCTTTGCTATTGTAAACAGTGCTGCAATGAACATTCGTGTGCATGTGTCCTTATAGTAGAACGATTTATAGTCTTTTGGATAGATACCCAGTAATGGGATTGCTGGGTCAAATGGAATTTCTATTTCTAAGGCCTTGAGGAATCGCCACACTGTCTTCCACAATGGTTGAACAAATTTACACTCCCATCAACAGTGTAAAAGTGTTTCTGTTTCTCCACATCCTCTCCAGCATCTGTTGTCTCCAGATTTTTTAATGATCGCCATTCTAACTGGCGTGAGATGGTATCTCAATGTGGTTTTGATTTGCATCTCTCTGATGACCAGTGACGATGAGCATTTTTTCATGATTGTTGGCCTCATATATGTCTTCTTTCGTAAAGTGTCTGTTCATATCCTTTGCCCACTTTTGAATGGGCTTGTTTGTTTTTTTCCTGTAAATCCGTTTGAGTTCTTTGTAAATTCTGGATATCAGCCCTTTGTCAGATGGGTAAACTGCAAAAATTTTTTCCCATTCTGTTGGTTGCCCATCCACTCTAGTGACTGTTTCTTTTGCCGTGCAGAAGCTGTGGAGTTTCATTAGGTCCCATTTGTCTATTTTGGCTTTTTTTGCCAATGCTTTTGGTGTTTTGTTCATGAAGTCCTTGCCTACTCCTATGTCCTGGATAGTTTTGCCTAGATTTCCTTCTAGGGTTTTTATCGTGCCAGGTCTTATGTTTAAGTCTTTAATCCATCTGGAGTTAATTTTAGTGTAAGGTGTCAGGAAGGGGTCCAGTTTCTGCTTTCTGCACATGGCTAGCCAGTTTTCCCAACACCATTTGTTAAACATGGAATCCTTTCCCCATTGCTTGTTTTTGTCGGGTTTATCAAAGATTGTATAGTTGTATGTATGTTGTGTTGCCTCCAGTGCCTCTGTTTTGTTCCATTGGTCTATATCTCTGTTTTGGTACCAGTACCATGCTGTTTTCATTACTGTAGCCTTGTAGTATAGTTTGAAATCCGGTAGTGTAATGCCCCCCGCTGTGTTCTTTTTGCTTAGAATTGACTTGGCTATGCGGGCTCTCTTTTTGTTCCATATGAAGTTCATGGTGGTTTTTTCCAGTTCTGTGAAGAAAGTCAATGGTAGCTTGATGGGGATAGTGTTGATTCTGTAAATTATTTTGGGCAGTATAGCCATTTTCACGATATTAATTCTTCCTAACCATGAACATGGAATGTTTCTCCATCTGTTTGTGTCCTCTCTGATTTCGTTGAGCAGTGGTTTGTAGTTCTCCTTGAAGAGGTCCCTTACGTTCCTTGTGAGTTGTATTCCAAGGTATTTTATTCTTTTGGTAGCAATTGCGAATGGAAGTTCGTTCCTGATTTGGCTTTCTTTAAGTCTGTTATTGGTGTAGACGAATGCTTGTGATTTTTGCACATTGATTTTATATCCTGAGATTTTGCTGAAGTTGCTTATCAGTTTCAGGAGTTTTTGGGCTGAGGCGATGGGGTCTTCTAGGTATACTATCATGTCGTCTGCAAATAGAGACAATTTGGCTTCCACCTTTCCTATTTGAATACCCTTTATTTCTTTTTCATGCCTGATTGCTCTGGCTAGAACTTCCAGTACTGTATTCAATAGGAGTGGTGAGAGAGG